AAATAAAAAGAATACACAGTGCGCACTTCATATTTCACTTTAAATTCACTTTCTTTCGTAACAATATTCCCCTTCACGACCCTCTGAAAATGTGGTTACACACTGTAAAATGTACATTATTACTTATGAATTTATTCAGTATGAAAAGATTTGAAACTTCATTGAACAATTTTAGTATACATTGCATAACGGTTTATTTCGATGTTTTAAGACTTTTTGATGCATAGCTCTGTATGTGCAGAAACTGCTTATGTCTCTGCTTAAAATGTTTTTCTCTTTAAAAGTGACAGTTTCATAATTCTATTTACTCAAGAATGTAAATATTTTCCGTATAAAAATGTAAAAAAAAAGGATACAGCGATGAAAATCCAAGTCATTTTGTGAAATAAGAATGTTTTTAACGCAACACTTACTGTCAAAAGAAATAAACCGCATTTAAAAATGACATTGAAATTACATCATCTTTTTGTACGGATCACTTGTTCTGCTGTGCAAGTTTCTATTATCAGCAAAAGATTGATACATCACGTTTAATAATACCATTGAAAGTAACCTATTTAATTACAATTGAAGTCCAGGACTTTAGGTTAGTTGCGCAAGCATCTTAATCGTCTAGGGGTTGAGGACGCGTCACCAAGGTATTTATTCGTCATAAATTTACGTTAAATTCATGGACGCGCACCGAGGGCCTCCCGTTTGGATCAGTACTCAAGTTAAATTGAGTTATAGCTGTTCAACAATTTCCATTTCAAGTAGAACATCTGTTCCACAATGGAAATTGTTCAATGTCCCAGTGCTAAGAATATAAGCTATATTCAGGCAGTAAGCTATCAATGCTATATTAAAACGCAGAGTAAATTTACTCGACATCATTTCTGTACATTCAAGCACTAATTTCTATCGTGATAGACATGACAATTTCTTAACATGTGTTGCCGATCCTGAAGTTCTATACATTTTAACACTGATTTCTCTTATGATAGACATGACAATTTCTTCACGTGTGTTGTCGATCCTGATGTTCTACGCAAATTACAACTGATTTCTCTCATGGTAGTTTTGACAATTTCTTCAAATGCGTTGCAGATCCTGAGGTTCAATACATTTTAGCACTGATTTCTCTCATGGTAGACTTGACAATTTCTCCCATGTGTTGCCGGTCCTGAGAATCTATATACTAGTATACAGTTTACAACTGATTTCTCTCGTGGTAGACATGCCAAATTCATTCCATGTATTACCGGTCCTGAGGTTCTATACATTTCAGCACTGATTTCACTCATGACAGCCATGACAATTTCTTAACATGTGTTGCCAATCCCGAGGTTCTATACATTTTAGGACTGATTTCTCTAATGATAGACATGACAATTTCCTCACATGTGTTTTCGATCATGAGGTTCGTTACATTTTAGGACTGATGTCTCTCATGATAGACATGACAATTTCCTCACATGTGTTGTCGATCATGAGGTTCGTTACATATGAGGACTGATTTCTCTCATTATAGACATGACAATTTACTCACATGTGTTGTCGATCATGAGGTTCGTTACATTTTAGGACTGATTTCTCTCATGATAGACATGACAATTTCCTCACATGTGTTGTGGATCATGAGGTTCGTTACATTTTAGGACTGATTTCTCTCATGATAGACATGACAATTTCCTCACATGTGCTGTCGATCATGAGGTTCGTTACATTTTAGGACTGATTTCTCTCATGATAGACATGACAATTTCCTCACATGTGCTGTCGATCATGAGGTTCGTTACATTTTAGGACTGATTTCTCTCATGATAGACATGACAATTTCCTAACGTGTGTTGCCGATCCTGAAGTTCTATACATTTTAGCACTGATTTATCTCATGACAGATATGACAATATTCTTACATGTGTTACCGATCCTGAGGTTCTATGCAGTTTACAACTGATTTCTCTCATGGTAGACATGACAATTTCTTCCCCTGTGTTGCCTATCCAGAAGATATATACATTTTACAAATGATTTCTCTCATAGGAAACGTGACTATTTCCTCATATATGTTGCCGTTCCTGAGATTCTAAGCATTTACAAAGGATTTCTCTCATTGTAGACATGACAATTTCCTCACATGTGTTGCAAACCCTGAAGTTCTATACATTTTAGCACTGATTTCTTTTATGATAGACATGGCACTTTCTTCACATGTGTTGTCGATCCTGAGGTTCTATGCAGTTAACAGCTAATTTATTTAATGGTAGACATGCCAAATTCTTCTTATGTGTTGCCGGACTTGAGGTTCTATACATTTTAACACTGATTTCTCTTATGATAGACATGACAATTTCCTCACTTTTGTTGCCGATCCTGAGGTTCTATGCAATTTACAACTGATTTCTCTCATGATAAACATGACAAATTCATCCCATGTATTGCCGGTCACGGGGTTCCATGCACAAGCCAAGCCAATATGATAGCCACTGTACCAAAAGACTTGTCACGATCCACCCGACTACGAACATCCCTAAAATACGTGTTGCGCTCTTGGCCATATATAGTTAGCCTGTCATCCTGGACAAACCTCCTCTTCACGTCAGCACAGGGCCAGGATCCCAGGCTAATATAGCGTTAACTTTTTAAATGGTTTGTATTCATGATAAAATAAGAATGTTCCGTGCGAGAACCTCATTGGTAGTCCGGGTCGTTACCACTTTGGTAGCAGTAATATGTTGGCATCTCACGGCAAGGAGTTTGAAGTAGGGGACACTAGTTTCGAAGTCCCAATAATTTTATTTTGTCAGAATTTGAAGTAAAACTATTAAACTTATTGTGATAACATTTATAAGTTCAGTATCCGGACATGAATCTGTCATTACATGTCACCATGCCTATTACAATAATAAAAAAAGAGGGGGAATCAACTAAAAGCAGTCCGCCGGTTACAATTTCGGCGGCAACAAATCAGACGAACTTTACCGTACAGAATGAAACTTTAATAAGAAAATGCAGCGCAATCTATTGGAGTGGATTTTAAATTTTCTTTAAGTTAAAAAAAATCATCCTAAATAATTAAATATAATCCCCACAGTTACAGAATTATGCAAGAAAAGAGTACAATTGGACGATGTATTCTATGAAGTTTACTATAACTTATGTAAAGCTATCTTTCTTTAGATATTTCGTTTTAAAATTCTATTATTTCTTTAATCTCGACACATAGTTGGTTACATACAACTATATGTGTAATCCTACGATTACAAATTTATGTTTTAACGAAAATCCAATTATGAAACTTACAAATTTTTTTTAATTATGTAACTCGTAAGCCATGATTTAATATATACGTTAATACTTTTGTCCCAATGCTTATTTCTCAGGCCTGAAGTTGTCGTAGTTTTATTGCTTCTTCGTGCATTTCTTATTTTTCTTACTAGTTCTTTTTAACTATTTTTATAAAAAGATATTATGCCTAGTGCATTTTTTATGAATAAAAAATTAACTGATGAATCCGGGTCCGTTCGCGCCCTATCACGTTCGCCCCATGCACGTTCGCCCCCTTTCACTTTCGCACCCTACACGTTCGCGCCCAATTTTTATTGGTTTTGTGTTTAATAATTTGTAAACGAGTTTTGATAAGTGTATTGCTATAAATATATATTTTTTCATTGTTTCTAAATAAAGTGAGATTCTGATAAGGTTTTTTTGTGTCATGGTAAATGTATTGCTATAAACATTTTTTTCTGCATTGTTTTTAAATAAAGTGAGATTCTGACGACCAGTATTTTATTTTTGTGTTGAATTATTTTTAATCATGTTTAGGTAAGTGTATTGCTTTATATATATCTATATATAACTTTGTTGTTTGTGCTGTATTTAGACCCCTCTACCAAGAAATTAGTTTTGCATGCACACGTATAAAAATTGCGGTTTTTATCCACCGCAATCATAGGTTTGAACGTTGTTATCAATTTATAGACTTGTCTATAATATATATATATATAAAAAAAAAATTTCATTGTTTCTAAATAAAGTGAGATTCTGACAACGTTTTTTTAGGTGTTGATAAAATCTTAATCATGTTTTGGTTAGTGTATTGCTATAAATATTTCTTTTTTATTGTTTCAAAAGGAAATGGGATTCTGACAACGTTTTTTTTTTTATGTGTTGAATAATTCGTAATCATGTTTTGGATAGTGTATTGCTATAAATATTTTTTTTCATTGTTTATGAATAAAGTGAGATTCTGACACACATGAGATCAAAGGAGCCAAGCTGTTAAAAACAATTATCTTTCATGTTTTTTATTTAAAATCTTCAAAGTTTTACTCATACCAAGCTAAATACATGCAGTATTTACATTTAAAGCAAGTTAAAACAACCATGACAACAATCATGATTTTTAAACACTCAACAATAACATCATATTAGGCTGTGTATAAATACCAATTAGCAGTAATCATACATATTTAACATTTAATAATTAATCATCAAATCAATTTAAAAAATATTTCATTTAAAAATTCCCGAATTTTTATTTATGAAATAAAAATATTTTATAAAACATCTAAAAATTTATCAGGTTTTTGAATAAAAAAAAAAGGTGCGAACGTGTAGGGTGCGAACGGACCTAGGGGGCGAACGTGTGGGGTGCGAACGTGTAGGGTGCGAACGTGTATTGGGCGCGAACGGACCCGATACCTTAATTGATCATAAGTCCCCTCAAATTCCCTTTAATAAGTCTGCCCTTAGAGGCCATATAAAAATATCACATATTGTGTATTCTCTGTTTCTGGTAAAACCCAACAACAAAAGAAATTAACTATAGACTTTCATTTGTCATAAAAAGGAATATTGTTAAAAGTCATCTTCTTGACCCTCAATTTCGTCTGCTAACTTACCTCCCTTCATGGAACTCAAGTTTCGACTTGTTTAATCTTAATCTCATGCGTGCTTGATAGATACGATTTTATCGTTAATAAAAATAAGCTTTTCAATAACTTGATGTACTTAGCGCCCGGATGACAACAAAAAGTTTGAAATGAAGAAAAATTTCACTAAAGAATTATAGAATTTAAACAATTTTCTGAACTTTTGACAAACTATTCACATTAACCATGGCTGCTAGGGATCTGTCCAAGACGTTCGATGAATTCGAATCGGACGAATTAAGCCTCGAAACGTCCGTCCCAACAGATTTGACATTGTCCCCTGAGCGAGAAACTGATAGATTCGCTGGCGATAGAAAAGATAGACGCACGAAAATAACGAGACAGCTCATAGAAAGAAAACAATTAATGCATGATATGCAGCTTTTGCGCATCGAGTTGTCACAGAAAAATTTAACTCTGGAAAATGTGAAGGCGGAATCACTGCAGAGGGTGGAAGAACTTGAAGAAAGGTTGAATGATGCACTTCATCAAAAACAAATTTTAACGGCTCGTCTTGAGTCACAGCTTACCATCCAAGAACAAGAATCAAAAAGACGACAGAACTTAGTTAAAGAAGAGCTAGAAGACGTTCGTCGAAAACAGCAACAGCTTGAAGGAACAAATGAAAAACTCCAGGAAAGGGCGGGGAATGTTAGGAGAAGTTTGAGAGACCTCACACTTTCAGAAGATAGATATTATGAACTCAGAGGTCAAAGTGAAGAAGACTTGTCACTAAGAGACTATGTAGCGGTATGAATTCAAAAATTACAATAACAATTTCTTAAAATGTAACAATGATGCACATTGTATATCGCACATGTTAAAAATAACATGACAAAATAAATTTCACAAATAAAAGAACCAAACTAGCGGTATGAATTCAACAACCTAAGAAATCTATCAAACCTTGTATGATTTGTAGGAAGGATACTCTGAAAAACAAATACACACCCCCACACAATTTTTGTTTTGTCTAATATACAAATGTAACAATAAAAATGTAAGGAATATACATCTTCATGTCATCCCTGCTGCTTTACCATGTTTACATGAATGAAATTTAAGATACATGAGTAGTCTACATGTATATGATATATACCTTGTACCCTAATATTTACATGATTTATAATAATAAATACATAAATTTTTTTCATTAGTTCAATGTGCATGTTGTATGTCAAAACAGTTCAAACACCATACATGTACATTATATAACTTATGTTTAATGTCTGTTATATTTTTCAGATGAAGTTTTATGAGGCAGTAAGACCAGTACAAACAGAATGTGATGAACTCAGACTAAGAACAAGCACTTTAGAGGCTGATGCTCGATCATCATCAAAACAGATTTCTGAACTACAATCAGTAATTTATTATTATTATCAAATTTAAACATGTCAAATTGTTATAGAAAAAATGTCATATGGAATAAACATAAAAGTGACAAAATCAATGAATAAAAAAGCACTAGGAATTGTTTTACAAGTCTCATTGATGGACAATTGCAGCCAACCAAAATGTATAACAAATTTAAAACTGATCTGATTTCAGACAACATTTGTAGTTTAAGTTAGTTTGTAGACATGGTAGAGGGAAATTATAGATTCTAGATTCAGGGTAAATGTAATCTCTATCATGTCTATATTTGTAGTAAAATTTACTAAATTTTGTGACCAATTCATTATATCTAATTCTTTATCCTTATTGTGAAAAATAAATAGAGGTTGAAAAATTCAAATCTGAGATGTCAAATTAAACCTATCAACATCACTGACGAAAGTCACTAGGATGCTTTGCCATTGCCATAAAATTGGGCATGACACTGTTGAAAAAAGAGGACATGATGCCACAACATGCTATTCACTTTAGATGAAACACAACATCAGGTCTATGTGCTAATGTGTCCAAAATCTTCATATTATGACTTGCAACTGATATTTTACAATGTCAATCATCAGAAAACCTGATATTTGGTACGTACCTGATCACAGATCAGTGTGTGTGTGGCTGTACTTCAACCAGAGGAAAAAATTATAACAATTTATCCATGAGACTCATTAACGAAGAGAATTATTTAGGTACTTGTATGCTTAATTTTAATAGATAGTGAAATTTTTATGGTTTATTTATACTTCTTGTACATTTTTCAGAAATTAGACCAAGAGAGAGACGAGCACGGGGATATCAGAGTGAAGTACCAGAAACTGGTGATGGACCTATCAGAAACAAAATCTCAAGTCAAACAGGAGGACTATAAAGTTAATAACTATGATCACCTTAAACAGTAAGTGTATTATTACTGACTTTATTTGACATGAGTGGACCCTGTATTCTGGGATAAGGTTTTGTATAGGATTGAGGCTAGAAATTGTAACATTATTAACTTGTGTGGTCAGGATGATCATTTGCAGTGAATGAATATAAAAATAAGGAGATGAGGTGTGATTGACATTGGAAAAACTATCCACCATACGTCTATTAATTTTTGCATTGGCATATTTTAGATAAAGTCTTGAAGGCGAGACATACATGTTGTAGCTATCATAAATCTGTCCTTCTTCTTGTCACAACATTTAGGTATAGCCTGTGGTGGAAGTTTTTTTTAGACATCAATAACTTTGTCAAACCTGCATGGAATTTTAATTTTCAGTATTCAGACCCTTTCCCAATGCTACAAACCCTAAATTTTTCCCAATTTCAGAGGAAAAATTCCCAAGGGATCTCAAAATTTCAAACTAAAATAAACCAGAAGTTACCCATACCGAAACTTAGTCGCTCTTCACTTTGAAGGTGAAAAAGGCAGTAAATTCTTATCACATGCGCCCTTTAAGAAGTATATATACAGTATTTTGATACTAAAATAAAATATTTTTAAATATTTTTCTGTTATTGTTATTTTCACAAAAAAGATCATTTCTGACGAACTATACACACTAAAACTCACATCTGGCATATATGTTGTTTTCCCAATTTCATTGAAAGTCTCGTAAAAAATTCCCAAAACTGGCCAGGGTTCTTTTTCCCAAAATACCCAGAAAAACCCCTGTGGACACAAGTGTCTTCAAGATCAATAGACAGCATCAAGAGCAAAATTGAAAAGCTACAAAAAGTATACATGTGCAATTACTTTGAAAACAAAACTTAATTTGCATTTAGTACAGAAAGCTTTTTTCAGTATTTTTGAAACTATATATTTTCAGTGAGCGTGATCATTTAGAACATGATCGTTTAGAATCACAGAGACAGCTAACAGTCCTGGATGGAGCACATCATACTTTACAGAAAGAAAGAGATGAATTGCATAGTGATGTAAGTTCATTTTGTCTTTTATAAATGACCCAAATTCCCTTGAGGCAGCCTATTAAAAATAGGGTTGCATTTATATCAAAAACATTGAAAAAAAATTAAGATAGCAATTTAAATGACGTGACGTTCAAGACTGTCATTAGAGAAGATGTCTGTAGTTTTGTTAGTATTTCCACATGTCACCGTGAGCAACTCTATTCTGCCAACTCAAATTTAACCATATATATGTTTAGAAGTATTGAGTTCAAATTTAAATAATTTGTTCTTGTGTAAAGTAGGTTCAATTCTTATGGTGAAAGAAAAGAAAAGATAAGGCATGTCCATTCCAAACGACAGGCACACCAGACATTTTAGAAGTTTGTGCATTCTCACCATGGACAGCTGGAAATGACTTTAGTTGTAGTGTATCTTGATAAAAAGAAAAACAAGAATACATTTGTGACAAAAAATATTGAACAGTACAACAGACTATCAACAACTGACTTCTTTAAGAAATAAATAAACAAACAAAGACAAAAAAAAACACTTGTCTGTTAATATATATATTTCTTTTTAGTTCACAGCTGCCAAGCAATCACTATCCTTACTCAAACAAGACAAAGATTATCTGACCAAGCAGGTTTCTGATTTGACAAATAGATGTACATATGCAGAGGAGAAGCTTCAACAAATTAATGCTCAGCTAGATGATGCAAAACGTTCTAGAGAGGAGATGTATGAAAAATATGTCAGTTCAAGGTAGGTATAGTACACATTGTGTACATCAAAAGTCAGAAAAAAATTTGGGCCTCATACATGCTCTTCAACTTTGTTCTTTATTCGGCCTTTTAATGTTTTTTATTCAAGCGTCACTGATGAGTCTTTTATAGACAAAACACATGTCTGGCGTATAAAATTATAAGCCTGGAATCTTTTATGAGTTTTTTTTTATATTTTTGAAATTTTGATAAGTTTTTTGTTTATTTTTTGCAATGTGTGTAAAATTTTCTATTAAATTTACATAACCACTTTACTTTGCTTGAAAGAGAAGCAAAGAAAATAACCAAACAATGAAATTTAAAAGGCGTACATAACCATTTAAAAGTAAATAAGAGTTCTGATACAATATGATATCAAAGCAGACTTTAGTTTTCAAAGATGAAGACATATCTGGTCTTGATGTTTTGGAATTATTAGTTTTTTTTTAAAAAAATAGTTATATCCATCTCGGATGAAAAATCAAGTTGAAATGTTATCACAGATGCCAACCATTACGATTTTTCCTTAATTGTTACAAATTTTGACCAAAATTACAGTGTTACCATTAACAGTCTACTTGTTAAATATTTTCGATCATTACCTGTCTGGAAAAGTTCCATGTTTAGACATCATTTTGACGCTTCATTTTCAGTTATGATTGTGTAACAAGACTTCCAATCAGAGTGATGGTCGGTGTTCCTCAAATGCTCATCAACTTTGAATCGTAGATTTATCATAGATAAAGGAAGTCGTCAATTTGTGTCTAGTAAAATATGATTATTATAAAATATCAGTGTTCTCCCCAGGCCCTTAAAGAACAGCGGACCCGCGATGTATAATTTTTTACCGTGGTTGTATCGTTCTTACTGCGATGTATAATTTTTCTCCATGGTGCTAAAATTTTCAGTTAAAAAATCGTAAATCGGTAAAGTTTTAAACGACTTGTTAAATCTTTTCCGTGCGGTATAAAATTCCAGGTGAAATTTGACCAGTTCAAACCAGTTCAACACAGATTGTTTACACCACCTGATCGATTTACCTTATGAAGTTAACCTTGTTGATTGGATTTAATCGATGTAATTAACACTTGTAACATGATTCTTTTGTGTTTTAATTAAGAGTTCATAACTTTATGATCACAGATAACTATTTTATGGCTTCACTCTCCACCCAAGCACTGACCTGTGACAAGTCGACAAATACTTTGTACACAAACAGTGTCTTGACCCGATAGGTACATTTTTTGTACATCATAATGGTGGCTCATTACGTATAATGGACAACTATACATTTCCCAATTCTTATATTATATGTCTCTGATTAAACCATGGCCAATATTATCTTTAATTATGACATAGTTATTGCATGATAGTCGGGTTTCAAACTGTAGTAGCTGTCTGTACATATCACATGACCCAGTTAGTTCACGTAGACTATTCAAGTTTATTTACAATTAATTGCAATCTATTATATTTTATAAATAAAATGCATGACTGTACCTTCAAACTGGATATCTATATCCATAATTAATGAATAACAGAAGTAATCTTATAATTTTATCCATAAGCACATGTTAAATCTATTTATATCTACTTCCTGTCATTTAGGCGGGAAAATAGGGAGACTTAGTTGTTGACATTTAATATGGTTACTTATAGATCTATAGACCAAAGATAAATTTATAGATTTAGGAATTCTTTTTAAATGGTTCATGACAAATAAAGATTAAGATTTTAGGGCAGTATAAAGTCTGTATCTATGTTTGATTATCACCAAAGACAAGAAAGTATAATATTTACATGAAATCTAAGGCAAAATGTTTTAAAATTTATGAAAAATTTCTTTTTATCAAAATCTAAGATAGAAACTGGTTCAAATAATAAAACAATATTTGCAATTGTTCTTGTTAATTTTATGTCTTCTTATGACAGGAATCCTTTCACATACAACAACTTTTTTTCTAGAAACTAGAAAGTTTTTTAAATTGAGCATTTTTGTTCTCTTTTGAATGATATTTTATTTTTATTGATTTTGGATTTTACAAAAGATTTAATTACTTTAAATTCAGATAAATATTTTATATGAATCATAATTTATTTATTTTAAAAAAATATTAAAGTATACAAACTGTTTTTTGATTTACTTCTTTTTTACCAATAATTTTCTGAATCAATGTCAACATAACACAGTACCACAGTGTTAAAACAAAACAAGAGACATAAAAACTACATTAACTAGGGCTAAGCGATGCGACGCAACACGACACAACTGATTGCATGAAATATTTCACCAAGAAGTCCACACGCCTTACCCTGGTGCTATCCAAAAATCCAGGGGAGAACACTGAATATTATGAAAAAAATATTATTACTGAAAAAAATCACAAATTCCTGAAATCTTAATACTTTTTTAATGATTGCAACTAAAAGGGGTTGACTTCTATTTCTATGTGTTATTGCTCTGTTATTTTTCATAAGAACAACTTTCTAGAGATCTTTTGATAATCTGTTAGATTAATTGTTTAAACTTATTTGCCTTTTAGGGATCAGTTCAAGACGGAATATGAAAACAAATTAAAGGAAGAATTGGAACAGATAAGGACAAAGACAAATTCTGAGATTGACAGACTTAGAACGAGTACCAGGGAGATGTACGAAAGAGAAAACAGGTGTGTTTATATATAATTTGAATGTGCATAGTATTATGCATAGAACTTATCTTTGTATACATAGGGGCTGAGAGGTGGGGTTGGTTTCAACTTGTGCGTTTTGTATAGTGTGTCTTGTGCAACTTATATGATTTGCTGCAACACAGCAGTTTCTCATGATGCGTTTCTTTCTCTTTCTTTAAATATTTCAACCCCAATTTTGAAAAGATGATATTTGAATGAAGACAGATATCCTTAAAGTTTATATGCCAATCTTTCAGAAGAATAAACTGCTGCTGATATTCTTATTAAGTTTAAAATTATTACAAAAAAGTAATTTTTAGTATAAAAATGTAAATCATACATTTTATTTAAGCATATCCTGTTTTTAATTATTATATAGGAAAATAATGCTAAGTTTCATCCACTCTTTCTTAAAAAATTCATAGATTGAAACTGTAATTTTGTGTATGCTTATGAGAGTGCAAACCCTTTCATCATAAGGTATGTTATATATGACTCATATATCACATGATTTAACATATTTTTCTAAAATTCTCTGTTGATAAAGAAACTAAGATTCGAACTCCATAAGGCAAATTTGACCATAGCTGAAATTGGCTATTTTTTTAAGTCCATTTTGGTTGTATAGCTCCTAATGTTTCTACATATTTATACATCTCTGATTTTCAAATGTTTTGGTTGGAGCATTTTTGATGAAGATATATCCAGAAAACCGCTTCAAACGCACAAAATTTTTATAATGTTATTTTAATTTGAATTAATTGAACATAATAATATTGCAATTTGAATAATGATGTTTGGTAAGTATTTTACCACTAACATTTTTTTTGTGTTTATTTTGCAGAAATTTACGTGAAGCTAGAGATATGTCTATATCAGAAAAAGACAGGGCACAGAATACCGAGAGGGAAACTTCTACAAAATATGAGCAGCTTATGACACAGTAAGTGTATCAGTTTATATTGAGATATACTGTAAATTCAGGAATTTTTTAGTATAATTATTGCGAAAATTGTGACGGAATAGGTATCACGAAATAAAAAACTAGAATTTTAAACTCGGATAGCATTTTTTGTATGCAGCATATACTGACAAAGCAATAGTAAATCTTGCTTTTGTGTCTATTCTTCAAAGATCGCAATAAAAAATGCATGAACAGATTTCTGAGTAATAGATTAGACAACAGTATTTATTTAAGTCAAATTCCCTGCGTTGTTTTTCATATTAAAAAATTAGCATTAAATTTAATTAAAAAAAAATTTGTAACAAAACTTTTAGAATTGCCAGTCTCTAAAATTTCATTTCTGATTTCCATATGAAAGTTCTTTAAACCATCACAAAGGCAAGTCAACAGAAATGTGAAAAAGTACTTTGAAAAAACAAATAAATTGACATCGTTTGAACATTTAATGTAAATTGAAGAATAGAAGTGCCTTGAAAACATTTATCAGTTATATGCTTTAGGTTCTGAAATAATTTATTTATATCTTTTAAAATGCAACATTTTACCTTTTTGTAGCTTTGATTATCCATTGAAGAAAAAGTATTAAATTTATCAAGCTACATAACTGAATAGATGAAGTATTGCACCTGAGATTTTTTAAGCAATGAACACAGTAAATTGTTCTAACATGATAAAAATTTAAAGGCCAAAAAAACATAGAACAAAAGCACTATAAAGAGTGTTTAATCTGAAAGCCAAAACATATCTTTAGTCCACTAAGCATATAAAATTGATAATATATTGAAGGGGGAGATAATTTACATCATTGATGTATCTCTGTAGGGGAGATAATTCAAGTCATTTGTTTAATTTCAGATATCGTGAGTTACAGATGAATGGTGACAATAAGGTTGTAGAACTACAGAATGATTTGAAATTAAAAGGATTTGAGGTTGAACGAACTCAGATGGTTCACGAGGAAACTGTACGAAATCTTAAAGAGGCACAGCTAGAAATTGAAAAACATCAGAAAAAGATTGAGGTTGGTTTATGTAAAATGAAAAAAAGGACTTTTCAAAAATGGAAAGAGGGATAGTGAGATTCTGAAAAACTTGATCAAATATAAAAATATTTTTGTTTTGAGGTATCAAAAGATTATTGAACATTTAATTCAAACTTATGCATGATTCGATTTGAAAAATGTTCCTCCTAACTCTCAAATACAATTATTTCTCAAATAGCCCTAAAATGGTAATATAAAGAATGAATTTAAGTAACTTTTCATGGAATTGAATTTGTTGATAATATTAGTTCTGAGACTGATCACTACTGTCAGGTATAAAGTGATGGTATAGTGATCATTAGCCAATATCTCCCTGAGGCATCAATATGGTAATTGGGAGGGCTGTCCAGATTATTATAATAAACAACAGTAGCAGTTTTATTACTGGAAAGCAGTAATTGCAAACAAAAATATTGAAAAATTGTGAATAAAAAGCAGATCTCAATTAAATGACTGAAATTATTTTTGTAAAAAGACCATTCTAGACCTAAATCCCATTCCCACCATTTCTGCCAATCACTTTTCAGTTTTAATAGGTCATAACAAGCATATATTACGTTTCGTGACCCTTGTACTCACTCCATATTGAAATTGATGAATTTTGCTGAAATGCTTTTGTTTACAAAAGTTCAGGCCATGTTAAAATAAATTTGACTGGAAGGCTTTGTCCTATAAAAGTCCAGTAAATGTTCAGAAGGGTTATTCTGGATGGAAATAGTTTTTTCCGTGAAGTCCGGTCCATTTTAATATGGATAAATTTAGAAGTAAATGTAATAACTTTATAAAGTCCTGTCCATTTTGATATGGGTAAATCTGGAAATGGTTCACAATGAAAGTCCAGTTCATTTTAATATAGGTAGGTCTGGGTAGAAATGGTTTTCCCATGAAGGTCCAGTCCATGTTAATATGGGTAGGTTTGTGTAGAAATGGTTTTCCCATGAAGGTTCAGTCCATGTTAATATGGGTAGGTTTGTGTAGAAATGGTTTATCCCATGAAAGTTCAGTTCATTTTAATATAGGTAGGTCACACCCACAATGGATTAATCCATGTAAGTCCAATTCATTTTAATTTATATTCTAATTCGTCACCTCAAACGCATATAAAGTATTTATAAAATAAAAACAAACACTTGTTACATAGGAATAGCTCGCCAGCATGTGCAGCTTACTGTTAAATTTTATTAAAACAAAATATTGAGTCCCGATGTCATGATATCAGCAACACCGCTGCGTAGTACACGACAGCCTACAAAATAGAAAAACAAAATCAGAAATCATATATACATATAAATCTTAATAATCAAACAAACAATGTCCTACTGATAGTATAAATATCTATCTATCTATGCGTGAAAACATTTCAAATATACAAGCATCTTAATCTGGGTGGGGGGGAGAGGGGTCTTAACCTAAACTAAGCTGCCTTACTGAACGGTATACGAGCTTCGAATGACCATATATCTTAAATTACTTAAACAAGACAACTATTCACACTTTAAAAATCCTGTGCTATTTACATAACAAATATCATACTCAATATATTTACGCAACGCGACAAATATTGACCAATCCAAAATATCATATATTTAAAACACAAACCTGTTTATCCAATATAAACACCAATAGATGACCACTATGCAGACACACAATCACGTGTGATTGTTTACATAATAGAAAACACGTGTATGCTCAACTTTAATAAATTACATTTATATTCTAATTCGTCACCTCAAACGCATATAAAGTATTTATAAAATAAAAACAAACACTTGTTACATAGGAATAGCTCGCCAGCATGTGCAGCTATTTTCGACAAAACAAAGAAAGGCGCAAATGTGTGTTTTTAAAATTCCTAAATTTTTAGTTACTGTCAGACGTTCACTGATGTTTTTTGAAGATTCGATCTTCCACATGCGCGTTTGCAGTAGCAGTGGCCCCTCCGGACCTCAAACTATGCAAACCAAAATACTTTTTGTCTAATTCAATAGATGTAGATAACAGAATTTCTCTTGCAGTAGTATAAGAAAGCTTCCCATTTCTTAATTTGTAACCATTTACAGATTTACAAAAAGATAAAGGACGAAAAATCAAATCATTACTGTCTGACTTGATGTTTGCTAAATCTAAATATTTCATCAACATTTTAACGGGACATGTAATTTTGTCCGTTTTTGAAATGAGTACATCTCTACCCTCACGGTAAATATCAGTTTTACTACTCTCTATCAGTAAAACGATGTACGCATCATGAGAAACAATATTATTTCTTGTCAGATTTGCTAATTCTGAATACCTCAAAAATCCAGCAAAACTTATAAGGCACATACATGCTATTCTAACATCTTAAGATTAGATTTATCGTTACCATAAAGCATAACAATTTGATACAAAATTTCTGGTGTTATAGGTTCTTTCTTAACCACAATGTGTCCAACAGATCTCAAAGATCCTTCCTTCACAGAAATAACCAAATCCGATTTACACGGATTTTCAACTCCGGCTAATCTATGAGCCCAACTTATAGCATAAAAAGCTTCATTTTTGCTGCTAGTAGATTTACCAATATTAGTCAAATAAACTAAATACGATGCGACAGAAATAACTGAAGCAGGTAACGTGTTTGAAATATTAATAGATAAACACCACTTACAAAAAGCGTTGAAAACATATCTATACTGTCGTTGAGTGTTGGGTGCTCTAGATGACAAACAAAAGGAAGGTATCTGGTCTACAAGGAGCTGCATGGATGGAGATTGTGACTGACGAAAAGAACTAATATCAATCCATCTTCCGGTTTTGAAAACATCTGAAAAATGTGTTACCCAATAAAGGAAAATGAAACAAGTATTCATATAAATTATTATAATAAAATGCATATGACATTAAACAATCAACCGTGCCTACTACAATATCATACTACAACATATGATACTAGGGCCATGTCGCTAAAAATCCTTCATCTTTTACATTCTCAACTGAGTAATATGTACAACGTAAAATCTCATTCACCATGCCTCTGCATACCGAAATTGATATCAGGACCATGTGAAAAATCACAGACTAGCGTCTAGTCTAACTGCGAGAACAGTTGATAAAATTTTTTCAGTTCCAAAGATACACTTCGGACTACTTCCTTTTGAATAGATTCTATTCGTTTCTTTAAATTCTAGCACATCTTTAACATAAGCTTTGTAAGTCAAGTTTTTATTAAAAATATATGACCAGAATGGCGCAGACACCCATCATGGGACAATCAAAGACCCTTTAGCATTACAGTAAATCAGATGTTTAATTGTGCGTATAACTGAATAAATAGGGGGGACAAGCCAATTATTTTCTCCATGCCAATTTTGTGTAAATGCATCTACAGCTTCTGCGGTCGGATTCCAGAAAAGTGAGTTAAACCTTTTAAGCACATTAGATTTCCAGAACTTAAGCTCATTCAAAATCTCAGCTGGATAAACTATTTGTAATAATTTATCCCAGCTCAATCTTGCAAGATGCACAAGTAACAATATCTTGTCATCAATCTAGTCAAATTTCCGAACACTGGTGATAAAGAAATAATCGTACCAGTCACTTGAGCTAATTGCCTAGCAGAGAAAAACAAAAATCTGTCTAAAATTTCATCTATAGACTGTAACAAATCATTTAATCTTCTTTTGTGAATAGAAATGCAGAATTGAGCAGAATCCCAAGTGATTCCTAACCATTCTAACTTTTTGGTAGGTTCAAAAACAGATTTTTCTATATTAACTAAAAAACCAGCCTCTTTTAGTGATTTTTTGACAAAATCTGAATCTTTCCGACATAATTCATAATCCGAAGCCATTCTGAAACCATCATCCAAATACAAAACAATATCAATCGAATTTTGTCTCCAATATTTGACCATAGATCTCAAACATTTGGTAAACAAGTAAGGGCTAGAAGCTAGACCAAAAACTAAAACTGAAAAACAGTAATACTTGTTATTCCAGGAAAAACCAAGAAACGTTTGTTGCTGAGGACAAATGTCGTAATGATGATAACCAGACTTTAAATCGAACTTAAACAGATAAGAACCTCTTTTGAAAAATTGAATAGCTGTTTTCCAGTCTTCAAATTTAAATCTCTCTTTTTTGACGGATTTATTTAAAATTGAAAGATCCAATATTAACCTCTTTTTTCCCGGACTTATTGGTGGCTACTGATAAAGGAATAACAATATAAGGCGTAAAGGGAATTTCATATGCACATCCAGAATCAACTAATTCTAAAACGGCTTTATCCACAAATTCTGAGTTAGAAACAGCAGATTAATTGTTTTTCATGTGCATACTAGGGGGAGGCACTAAAAAAGGGATTACATAACCGTTTTTAATTGTATCTAAAACAAAATCACTAGCTCCAATCTTAACCCAAAAATCGTAATGTTTTGCAAGCCTGCCTTTAACACCTTTAAAGTTATGACTAGCAGAAAAATCTAATTTTTCAAGAAATTGAACTTGTGGCATAAATTCGTCAAGTTCGTCGTTATTGCATTCATAGCTAGAAGATAACAAACTTATATCTAGATACTTATCATTAACAGTAACTGTATCATTGCTGTTTGGATGGCTGGTAACTGGGTGCAGAAGCTGTGGCTGACTTGAAGTTGAGTGTTTTGAGGGCTCTAGTCTAGGCCTGGCGAATCTTTTTCTCGTCCTCATCATTTTCGGCGATATCATAACTTTCATATTCTCTAACCGTAACCCATCCCCCAGTGGAGTTATCAGCGATCCTGATGAGTTTGTTCCTTTCTTTAAGTTTACCGACCAAATCACCAGTAATAGAAGAAAGGGGGGAAGCAACAGATACAAGATCCTTGTGGATTTTGTTAAGACCATCCATAATGTTCTCATTAAAACGAAACTGAATCCGATTCCCTTCTGATTTGAACTTGATATTAGCCTCATCTCTGTATTTCTTGGATAAATTGTCTTGTTCTGACAGAATGTCGGACTTTAAATCAACAAGTTTCTTATCCAAATAGTCTTTAAAAAGCCCAAAAGTGTCTACTAAGTCACGGTTTTGTTGATTAGCTTGTGAATTGGAAGCGTTCAGACGTTCGGGCTGACCATGTAAGGGGTCCCTTAACAAATCTTAACCTAAACTAAGCTGCCTTACTGAACGGTATACGAGCTTCGAATGACCATATATCTTAAATTACTTAAACAAGACAACTATTCGTGCTTTAAAAATCCCGTGCTATTTACATAACAAATATCATACTCAATATATTTACGCAATGCGACAAATATTGACCAATCCGAAATATTATATATTTAAAACACAAACCTGTTTATCCAATATAAACACCAATAGATGACCACTATGCGGACAAACAATCACGTGTGATTGTTTACATAATAGAAAACACGTGTATGCTCAACTTTAATAAATACATTTAGGTAGATCAGATTCAAAATGGTTTATTCCATTATGTTTAGTCCATTTTGATATGAGTAGATCTTATCAGTGTTAAGATAAATTGGTTTACTACTTAAATAATTATAAATCTATTATTATTAAACAGATAAAAAAGTGTTCACATATAAGTAAAAAGATATCAATATTTTACTCACATGTGTTGTTGAATTATATTAACAGGTGAATATTGTTTGTGAAGTTATGCAGACAGCTAGTTCATAGTCTAAACAATGATGACTAATAATCTCAGAAAAAGTTATACGTGTTCAATTGTGATCACTAATGGTCTTGATTAGTAATGAACAATTTGCAATGATCACATTTGTGCTTTAATATATACGATTGGTTGTCACTTAAATACATATTTTGCTCACTTATGAATATTTTCCTGAGTAGTATATCAGCATTTCCGTGAACAAATAATAAAATTCAGTCAAGTTTGAATAAACCTTAATGATTGCTTATGCCGACCTACGATAGTAGAGGGGCATTATGTTTTCGGTCTGGGCGTCCATTTGTCCATCTGTCTGTTCATCCTTCTGTCCCGCTTCAGGTTAAAGTTTTTGGTCAAGGTAGTTTTTGATGAAGTTGAAGTCCAATCACCTTGAAACTTAGTACACATGTTCCCTACGATATGATCTTTCTAATTTTAATGCTAAATTGGAGTTTTGACCCCAATTTCACGGTTCACTGAACATAGAAAATAATAGTGCGAGTGGGGCATCTGTGCACTATGGACACATTCTTGTTTTAACTTTTATTAAGAAATCTGTTTACAGTGGATTAAGTCCTTTTTTCGTTAGTACCAATTTTAATGGATTGATGGACAACTGTATTTTAGTGGATACTTTATTTCGTGGTTTTACTAAAGTCTGCATACATTCTATATATAGAAAATTTGTACTTCGTTGAACATTTAAATTTGTGGTTCACTAGGCCTATACCAACGAAATCTGCAAAAATTAGTATCCCACGAATAATAATGAATTATTACCGTAAATAGTAATATTCTCCATCAAAATATGTGCAATTTGAACAGTTTATGTGGGAATATCTGTTTTCTTTAAGATTTTTTTCTTTTTTTTGGTTACTATTTGTATTAAAATTTGTTATCATTATGTGTCAATCAGGGTTTAAGCAGGGGTCTGACAGCATAACTTAAAAAAAGATATAGTGAATACTGTAATTTTTTCTAAAGCAAAATGTAGTACATGTATGTATCTTATCCAGCCTAAAAATTTCAAATTGCAAACCACAACCGAAATTAATGAAAATAAAAGAAATGTCTAAATAACAATAAAAAAATCTTTCATTATAATTATACCCCACCTTTTAAAGTTTGTGATATAAAGTGATAGGGGAGTTTATCCTTCTGTCCTACTTTTGTATTCAAAACTCTTCGTAAACCCCTTATTACAATTTATTGAAACTTTCTTACAATCTTAACCATATAATGCTATTGTGCACTTCCTATTTTGATTTTTGATCCAAATAGTTTTTGGGATTACCTTACCAAAGTATGGAGGGGGTATCATTTTGTGAGCTTTGCTCGCAGTACTTCTTGTTTCTATTTATAACAGCATGCATGACATTTATATTGTATTTGTTTGTATTTACAGGTTCTAACCAAAGAATATTACGCTTTACAAACTTCAATGGAGATGAAAGTCGTAGAACTAGAATCTCATATTTCTGATAAAAAGGCAAAGTTAGAAACTTATGAGAAAGTGGAGAAAGAACTGGACGATATTGTTATGCAAGCTGCTGAAGGTTTGTTGATTTTGTTTTTCCAAATTTATGACTTAAGGCTACTCCATTCTAATGGTTTTGAGATTTTTCATACATCAAATGAGCATATAACCAGAATTACTCTAGATTTAAGCCAAAAAAAAATACTTCCCTTACTGCTATCTTACATTCATATTTAAGATAGATCAGCTCTCACTGTTTGGAAGTTCAAGATGGATAAGAATTTTTTGCGTTTTAAATATGCCTGTTATTTTTCTGTAAACAGTTAAATAAAGAGAAATAATCATTCCATATCAATGAAATTCTCAAATATTGTAGTTTTACTTACATCTCGTCAGGGCTTCCAAAATTTTTTTGAGCCAGCCGGACATTTCATATCTTATCCCGATTTTTTATCCCTTTAGACTTAGTAAATTAGGCAACTATGATAATCAGTTGGCCATCATATATGATATAACCAATGATTGACATTAAAACGATATTACACTTTACTTTGATATAAATTCGATGTTCTGGCGTAAAGTGTTAAATTGAAAGTGCAGCATTCGAAGTGTGCAACATCAGCGTACTAATTCTGCTTTAGACTCTTTATTTGTGCAAAATAACGCTGTCAAAAGCTTTATTTTCGTTTTTAAAATCACATTTTCCTAATGCCGGATGTTGACTATATAATGGTAAATCACGGATCAGAGACGGGTACGTAATATCCGTGTAAGTTTACGATTGAGTTAAGTAGCCTTTTCAAGTTATTTCTTCAAGAAAATACTCGAAATGAACGTTAGATAAAGGTATCAATGATAATTTTAGCATTATTGAAGAATTAGCATGCATAATTAAATTTCCCACCAGCGGACAATAGACACATGCGCACACGTGTACTAGTTCAAACAACGTGGTTCTGACGATTATTAGTTTAAAACCTTTTCAAATTTTTCATCAAATCATATTTATTAACGTATTTCTTATAATTTCAATCTTTTAGACTAAATTAATTAGATGCAACCCGCTGAAATGTAAGAAAATAACTTTGAATACCCTTTAGCGTACCCCAGTATTTAACACGATGTACAGTGTTTTTAAATATAATAATGAATATCATACAAATTCGAATTCATTTATAAATATTCTAATTTGAAGAATTATTTTAAAATCTAAGGATACTTTTTTAAAACTGAATGCTCATTTACAATTATATCTACAAAGCGTAATTAAATAGGATGTTGTTCCATACACGCTTACATGTTTGACCTCGTTTACCTGATCACCTTTATCACCTGTTTATGTTCATTGTTATGCATCATCAATTCTATTGATTAAGACAAGCTAAGGTCTCTCATCAAAGGTAATGACCTGTAATCAGTGAATGATTTATGGCTTCAATATTACTTATTGAAGGGATAATTGTTTGACGGCTTGTTGTTTTTTAAATAAAAGAACAAATGTTTTTTTCTACTTTTTATTGATGTACCAAGCCGTGCATTTGTGTACCCAGATGATTAGACTAACTGAGACACTGCAAAGTATGAAATATGCTGCATCTGTTTAATTAAACCCAAATATGACCGAAATATCTTTGTGAAATAGATTGCCACAATTATAAACTATAATGCCCAAACGGACATTTTTACCCATCCATAGTTGGTAAAAAAAGTGAAATGACCGTTTTATGAAAATGCCTTGAATAACAAAAGTGGCAAACCTATGATATTTGACCGTTTGAGGCTGAGAGCAGCCGGACTTTTTATATAAATTTCGGTCAAGTCCGGAATAAATGACCGTTTTGGAAGCCATGCATCTCGTGCAAATTCACAATTGACTCGTTCAGATCCTGAAGGATTATGGTTTAATTCAGTGTTAATACACCAACATACAAAATGAAATGGCAAATTCAACTTGAAATAGCTGTTAGTGCTGAAAGTGACTTAAAACACCCAAAATCAACCAATCAATCATATCAGGTCATAAATTTATACCTTAAGTTTATGAGGAACCCTACTCTCTGAAGTCAAAGTACCTTTGATATTTTGGAGAGGCAGTTTTTATATTCAGGTGCGGATCCAGGATTTTGAAAAAGGGGGCCTCAATGGCAAACCACTGTTTGGAGTGATACTTGTAAAAAGTATATGCATTTATCATATATGAAGCTCCATTAATCCACATCTGATATTCATGTATACATGTGTATTTCTCAGTAGAAGTTTCTATATGTGTACTTTTTGAGAAAAACCCTCAAGACTTTTTATTTTTTTTAGTTGATGATGAAACAGAAGCAGAAAAGGTCCTGTTCTCTTATGGTTATGGTGCTAATATTCCCAGTACATCAAAACGTAGACTTCAACAAAGGTAATAAATGACCAATATATGCCGCATTGAATTCTGATTAACATGAGAAAATTTATCAAGCTTTCAAAGAAACAAATAAGGAATAAACAAAATGAAGATTGAAGTTAAGCCATTGCTGTCTATTTCTGTTTTGCTTCATTTTAAAAACCCATTAGCCTGCTAGGAATGAAATTGCACACAAAAATTAGAGTTAATTTACATTCTAATATGACGTTCTTCTTTTGCTTTGGATACAAAGCCATGTTCTAATTCCAATAAAACATAGGCTGCATGTGTTTGATGTCACAATTGAAATTGCTACGTCAGTAGAATTTTGAACAACGCCAGAGATCAAAATGGACATTTTTGTTGGTGTTGCTCGCTAGGAAATTAAATAAAATCATTCTAAAAGTAAGTTTAAATGTATCTGTTCATTTTTTATTGTTAAACTGTTGATTTTCTATATCGTTTTTGGTTCACCAAATCAAAATGGCTGCCTTCGAGCGTGTATTATAGGTCCGCTTCAAAGTACAAAAGATCTAAATTTTTCTATTAGAATCGAAATAATTCTATCATGCCATGCTTTATGCTCATTTCAATATGTGTAGGCATTATATTTGTCAACATTTAACACCTCACTAAGGCTCAGTATTAAGATATTGACAAATATAATGCCTACCCATGTTAAAATGAGCATAGAGCATGGCATGAAAGAATTATTTCTTAGATAAGTATTAATCCTACTTCAATTTTTCATTACTTGTTTAATGAATTGAAAAGACATTTTCTAAACTAATTAAAGAAGAATAAATCCCCAAGGGTATATTAAGTTATGTACACAAATGACTAAATGAATGAATTCTTAAAAAGAAAACTCTAGCAGGCTAGTCAATGCTTGCGACATCCTGGTTATGAATTTTCCAATGTTTTAAATTTGATATCTTTTTTTTAATATTTTGATCTGTTTTCAGTGTACATTTAGCAAGAAGAGTTTTACAGTTAGAAAAAATCAATTCCAACCAGAAAAAAGAAATTGATGTAGAAAAACTAAAACTAAAACAGCTTGCTGAAGAGGTAAGTAAATTATCAATGAAAATTGATATTCAATTTTCAACTAACGTAAACAACACAAAAAATACCTTAGATAATTTATTCTTGATCAAAAGACTTGACTTTTGGTTGCTTGTTTATCAATAATATTGAACTAGTTTGTATCATTTCTATTTAATTTACAATACTTCTAATAGAGAAGTTTAAATGTTATATGCAGGGCTCGACATTACCGTTTGTCCGATTGTCCGGGACAAGTGGACATAGGCGTCGGGCAAGTAGATTCACCATACTACTTGTCAGATGGGACAAGTGAAAAATCGAGGTCAGATGTAAAATAGATCAAATTCAAGACTTATACATGTAAGATTTTCATTTATGAATTCGGACAAGTGAGTTAAGAGTTTGGACAAGTTGATTTTCTTGCAACTTGTCCGAAGGGACAAGTTAGAAAAAATGATAATGTAGAGGCCTGATATGTTATCTTCGCAATAGACTTCTGATTCCACATGCTTGAACTGAATTTTTATAAGAAGAAAGACAACTCCATATCAGTGATGTCCTAGTGTCTTTTTTGGTGTTCAAAATGTAATCTTGTGATATGATTATAGATTATCTACAGTTCTGAAAACTAGAGGGAGTTTCTAGGCTACAATTTCATTGAAGAACCATTTGAAAGACAATGGATGTTTTTCTTTATTTTTCCTAAGCAACATCAATTTGGCTGATGACATCATAGGATTCTCACAGGTCTTGACTGAGATAAACCCCTCCTAGTTGAGTAGCTTGAGACGTAAAATAATCACACAGAAAGTTTAAACGAAACATTTAAGGAAATAACAACAATCCAGAATAGTTCTTGTATTGTTCTATTGAACCACTGTTTCAGGATTCTGGGGAGGGTTGGGCACTGACTAACATGTTTAACCCCGCCACATTCTGTATGTGCCTGTCCCAAGTCAGGAGCCTATAATTCAGTGGATGTCGTTTGTTGCTGTGTTACATTTAGTTTTTTGTTCATTATGTTGTACATTAATTAGGTCGTTAGTTTTCTCGTTTGAATTGTTTTACATTTGTCATTTTGGGGCCTTTTAAAGCTGACTATGCGATATTGGCTTTGCTCATTATTGAAGGCCGTACGGTGACCTTTAGTTGTTAATTTCTGTGTCATTTTGTCTCTTGTGAAGAGTTGTCTCATTAGCAATCATACCACATCTTCTTTTTTAAATGTAAATTATAATTTCACTGAGGTGTTTTTTTCCTATTAATACATACAACATTGATCTGTCAGTCAATTGCAGACATTAGAAACATGCATGTTCAATCATACTGTTGGGAACAAATGGTAGAAAGTACAAGCTTGTTTGCTGATTTAAATTGATATAATGAGTTTAATTATTTTACACATTAAGGGTCTTTTGTTGAAGACTGTTTGTTGTGATAAGGTGTTTTTTTCTTCATGTCAAATTATCTTAAAATTAAAAAGTAAACAATCTGAGAAATAAGTTTTGAATATCCTAACTAGCTAATTTTTATTTAGATATATTCTGAATAATAGCTTTATTATTTTTCAGTTAAAGAATAGTAACTCTATACTAGACCAGGCTCAGCAACCATACAACTACTTGATAGAGAGTATACGTCAGAGAGACAATCAGATAATGAAACAGAAAGACTATACAGCAACCCTAGAGAATGATGTCAAGTATGTAAAGCAATATTTGTATTGTAAGGGGGTGACTTAAACATTAGGACCAATTTCTATATTCATTTTTAACTGGATTTTCGAAGGAAAAATCAGTTATTGATTTGGGGATGTACAGTGGGTGGACAGGCGGCTGCCAAACAGTGTCTGTTCATTAACATGCAAATGCTTTGACAAATTTTTTTCAAATTTTGATATGTTGTTTCCTGTGACTAAATGAAGGTCAATTTCAATTTTCACAATTTTAGCTTCTCTTGTTTTTGAGTTTTCGACTTTTTAGAAGTCCAAATATATACTTATTATATGATTGAGTTATTTCCCTTTGAACAGAAATTGTAATTTGCAAATATCATTTTCATTAGATAATAATCTATTTTTATTAAAGGATATATTTCATTACATTACATTGAAATAAAATTGTTGACATTAATAGATAAGTTGCAGATCTATATTAGTTTGTGACAAATGAAAGAAAAAATATTGGGAAATATAGATTCCATCACTGCAACAAGTGTGTTATGATATGTTGAGTGTGGAGAAATATCGTAATACATTAGTTATAGTGGTGGAATCTGTTTCTCTAAAGATTTTTATTCTTCCTTTTCAAAGATTTGCAGAAAGTTGTGTTCTTTATATGTGACGTCATCAGGCACGGTCACCTTTTTTCATGAAGTCCCAATAGGAGTTTCAGAAGAAATTAAGAAAATTTAACGTCATAATTAAATTTCGACCAATCATGTGCTGAGAACAGATATTTCACTAGTGAGGAGAAGTATTTTTCTCACACCGCTCAGGAAATGTGAAAATAGCACAAAAATTAGAGAACTATTAACTATATATATAAAGTTTGACTACACTAAGTGTTTTAAAATAATTTTCACCAGGGTTGGCAAAAACCCGGGTTTTATGAGTATTGCCCAGCCCAGTGGGAAATACTGGGAAAAATCGGGTTTTACGGGGTAATACTGGGCAATACTGGGTATTTTAAAATACTGGCCTGAATTTTAAAGAGGATTCAGTGATCAAACACCAATGCAATACATTTAAGATATTTATAAACATATTTTGATTTATAAATAAGTTTTCTTGTTTGAGAGTCTTATAATACAAGTGTACACATTTGAGAAAGTATTATTCTAGCAACTCTGAGACAAGTGTACATAGAGACACATTAGACAAATATTAATGGATAAAGACTTTCTCAATAATTCTCCTAAAAATCTATTAAATCACCTTTATGTCTAGATTGGTCAAACTGTTTAATAACATAAAGCAAAAGAATTAATTTTTTTCAAATATATATAACTAATATAAAGAATTAACAATTACATGTAAGAAAAATTTACTTTTAAATAATTTATATGTACATCACTAATTAATAAGTAATTATTCAGATTAGAACACAGATATGTTTATTTAACAATAATCAGCCTTTTCATTTCTATGAGTGTTAATGACATGACACTGTAGGATGATTATTTAGCAATATGATTGCATAGCAATTTAAATTTACAATTCACTTAAACAATGCAATAAAATGCATTTTTTTCAAAGTTTGGATTATTGAAACAATGCTTGGAAATTAACAAGGTATCCTAAAATGTGCAAATCTTGTATTCTGCCTACATAGAATTAGTGGAAAAGAGAATGATATTGAATTTTCAATCTTGTAGAAATGACTCTCAATGGTTATCTGTATAAAATGTATATATTTAGCTATAATACTATGAAACTACAACAAGTCTTTACTATTTTGTGTTGAAATAAGCTTAAAAAATCATATTGCCCAGTATAACCCGTTTCTGGGAGTATTGCCCAGTCGGGGAAAACCCGGACTGGGTTTTCCCGGGCGGGTAATAATTTGCCAACCCTGATTTTCACCTATTAATAGATAGCAAAACATCTGGTAAATATCTTATCTCACAATAATAATTGGAGTGACAGATTTATTTGAAAATTTTCTGTTTCTTAAAGTGTTGATGATAAGATCTGTAGGATGCTATAAATAAAATTTGAAATTTACTGTTCATTATTAGACATTTTGAAGATAATTACAGATAAGTTTTATAGATTTTTTATAGATATTGTATTAATGATAAATGTCATTTTGGATTTTTTTCTTCTTTTCTTTTGTAAATTGTTTGAAGAATTTTGTGGTTGGTTTGTTTGTTATTCTGTATAAACTTATTTTCTGAATGCTTTATATATATTTTTTTTGATGAAGCAAACTCCTTCAAAAACTAAGCTTAGTTTGTCCTTTAATAAACATATATTTAGATTTCTGATTTTGGGCCCAGTTTTCAAGTTGATCCAAATCGGGGTCCAAAATTATACTGTGTTTGATTTCAACATAAATTTAATATATATAAAGGGTTCTTTGAAATGCTGAATCTAAACCTGTATTTATTTTCATTATTAATTAGATGATACCCCATTGAGGTCCAAATGGTCCTAAATTAAACTTTTGTTCGATTTCATCAACAATTCAAAAATTGAATTCTTGGGGTTCTTTGATATGCTAATGATAACAATGTTATTAGATTTTGGATATTGGACCATAATAGGTAAATCTCTGATTTCAAATTTTTCAGTTCTTTGACCACATTCATTTTGTGTCACAAACCTATGCTGTGTCAAATATTCAATCACAATCCAAATTCAGAGCTTTTTTAAGCTTAAATGTTGTGTCCATACTTGTTCAACTGTTCAGGGTTCGACCTCTGCAGGAAAATGCGGTTTGCTGTCACTCTGACAGCCTCTTGTTGTATGTTTTGTTAATATTTACTGTGTAAGTTAAAGTCATAAAATAAGACTAGAATTAGTCTCATTTAATGATGAAATTCCACATTTTCCTTATTTTATCTAGAATAAAAAAAAAAAATGAACATCCCACTCAAAGAAGTAAGTTAGAAAAATAATACATGTGTATATTTATCCATTTACAGTATTTTTGGGGAAAATTAGAACAAGAATATTCCACAAAACAAATTCACAGATTGTGAATAATGGTTTTAACTCTCAGTCAATTAGTCTGTTTTTTACCTTGCTGTAATTAACCTGTTAAGTGCCTTAATTTTTTCTCATCTTTCTAAAAAAAAATGCAAGTGCCTTTTGGTCTTGTATCAGAAAAATCTGAAGTAAGAAACACATTTTGTACATTTGGGTATGACGTGAGAAAATATGTAAGCTTGCCGACTTAATTAAGAAAATTCTTGAACTTATTTACAGGAAGTTTACAAAAGAAAAGGAAGATTTGATTAGGACAAAGAATCAAATGTCTTTAGATTTAGAAAGATTACTGAACCAAAGAGAGGTAAAATTTGTATAGATTTGTCCACTGCAATAACTGTGTTTTGACATTTATTCACTGGAGACAGAGAAATTTATACATGATGGGTTTTAAGATTGTATGATATTAAAAAAAAAAAATCCAAAATTTGTATTTTTAACTACTGAAGGTACTAATTTCTTTTGAATGAGAAAAACAAATTTTTTCCTGGATAGTTGATGTCATGATTTTAACAATTTCTGCACACCAGTCTACACGAAATTTAAATTTTATTTAACATCTAAATGTGTGGCTCATCTGGCCGATCCACACCAATAAAATCAATGAATTAGTACCACATCAATAATAATGAGTTCACATTAAACCAAAGGGAGATTAATCTTTACAAAAAACAGACCAGATGGGGGGATAACTCTTTAAAAAAACTGAAGAGATGCAAGATAACTGTTTACAAAATACTATAAACAGATGGGAGATAACCCTTTACAAAAACCTAATCAGATGGGACATAACCAGATGGTACCCAAATTGCACCTATTTTGACATTTTTTTCACCTACATTTATTTATGGTGCAGATAAAAGTTTAATTTTGTAGATGTATCCTTATTTAGTATTTAGTTCCACCAATTTAATTTTGAAATGGGTTTGAATCTACCACCAAACAATCCATTTATCTGTAAAGATAGAACCCAAATTGCATAAATGCACATCTGAAAAAAAATGGAATAACTGATGTTTGTTTGATTGCTTATTTTTAAAAGTTGACATTTTGTGGATGTTTCTGTAGATTTTACTTTTTCCAGTGAATGCTTCATCTGTTGATATGTACTGTGAATGTTTTGTGTATATTTTAATATATTTAGCTATGTTGAAAGACATGCATAATGTCAAATCATAAACAAACAAACTGTTAAGTCTCTCAGCAAACCTGTAAGATTTCCACTGCTAGTTTTGCTAAATGGGTGCAATTTGGGAACTATGACGTTATTTTTTTACAAAAACACTGAACAAATGGGAGATAACTCTTTACAAAACAAACTTGATAAAGAATAAGGAATATGCATATGATAACTTTTGGCCATGTATCCAATGATTTAATTGGCTAGCCTAGCACAAAGAAGGCTTCAAACTTATATTATACAATACAGTACACACAAGATGAGTTTAAAAAAAATTTCACTGTAAATGCTACCAATTTTTGGTGATTCACTCTGAAATTTCTAAATATTCTACAGGTTATATATAGTATACATTTGAATGAATTGTTATCATTTCACTCTTGATCTCCAAGAATCATTCTCTTTCGCTGTGAATCACTCAATGCTAGCAAGAGTGATTTTTTTGGGTAAACATTTCATTCATGCAATCGAAATCCTTATGTAGCTGACTTAATAGTTATCAATTTTCCAGGTGTTATCACTACTGAGATAAACTGAGAACTGCATTCTATACATCCTATGCATGAACATTTTGAGAAATTTATCAACGAAATATATATTCAAATATTCATTATACAAAATGATGAGAATATAACCAAACTTGTCACATAAATTGTGCATTGTGCATGAATCTTATAATATTGAAGATGTCATTGTTTAGGTTATATTTAGATTTTGAGTTAGCTTTCTTTGTCCATAATTATGGTGAGCAAATTCATAGTATTCCGTCCAATGCTAAAATATAATGCTTTGTTTTGTTTTTAAATCCACTGCAAAAATTAATGCAATCTTTACCTTTCAGTGTGCTCACAAGCACTTTGATTTATTAACCCCATTGTGTAAACTGTTTGTTTTTACAAATTTCAAATATTTTCCACTGGATATGAAACATCTATACATAGTAATTCTATACAGTGATCAATAATGAATTATTTTCTTTTTTTCAGGAAATGTCAGTTATGAAGCAGGTGGTGATGAATTTATCAACACGTAAATATGGAGAAAAAAAGACCCAGTCAAGAGATCTGGCTAGACCTAAAAGTCCTAAAAGTTTGGCAATTCATTTGCCTTCTCATGACTTTGAAACATATGATGAACCAAATATAGTCAAACCTGGATCTATATCTCTTGTGAGTTTCTTATGAATATTTTTAGAAACCCACTTATGAAATTGTTACATCAAAATAGGCTAATAAAGTAAAAAAAAGGAATCATTCTGGTTAGACTGGTTCTACAAACATTATTTAATTTAACACATGTGTCGGTATCTGATTGGTTGACAGATGTTAAACATTTTATCTTTTTGTACAACATCTAAAGAGTAAAAATACACTTGCACTTTGTAATGAACTCAGTAACTATATTATTTTAACCATCTAGGACCCACAGGAAGAGTTAGTCTTACAAGATGCCTACAACCTTTAAGTAGATATGGCAAAATTTTTCTATGAAAAAACTCCTAGATTTTGTTGGTACAGGTGAATCACAAATTTGAATGTTCAACGTAAAATAAATTTTCTTTAGGCTTGTATGCTCACTTTTGCAAATAGAAAGGAAATCAGTATTCAAGAAAATTCAATTTTTCCTTATATCAATGAAAATTGGTAACCAGGCAAATGGATGAATCCAGGGTTGGCAAAAACGTGCAGCTCTTTTCACAAAAAAACTTAAGAGTAAAAATACTCTTAAGTTATACACATTTCAGTATAACTTACGATCAATTTTAATCGTATGATTTTTTGTGAAAAGAGTTGCTGGGTTTTATGAGTATTGCCCAGCCCAGTGGGAAATACTGAGAAAACCCGGGTTTTACTGGGTAATACTGGGCAATACTGGGTAATTTGAAACACTGGCCCGTATTTTAAAGAGGATTCAGTGATCAAAACCAAATGCAATACATTTAACATATTTATAAGCATATTTTGATTTATAAATAAGTCTACTTGTTTGAGAGTCTTATAATACAAGTGTAAACATTTGAGAAAGTATTATTCTAGCAACTCTGAGACAAGTGTACATGAAGACACATTAGACACATATTAATGGAAAAAACCTTTCTTAATAATTCTCCTAAAAATCTATTAAATCACCCTTCTATCTAGATTGGGCAAAGAATACATTTTTTTCTTCTTCAAATATATATAACTAATATTAAGATTTACAATTACAAATTTCTTTTACATAATTTATATGAACATCACTAACTGATAAGTCATTATTCAGATTAGAACACAGATATATGTTTTTATAACAATAATCAGCCTTTTCATATCTATAAGTGTTAATTACATGACCCTGTAGGGTGTTTATTTAGCAATATGAATGCAAAGCAATTTAAATTTACAATTCGCTTAAACACTGCAATAAAATGCATTTCTTTCAAAGTTTGGATTATTGAAACAATGCTTGGAAATATACAAGGTGTCATAAAATATGCAAATCTTGTATTCTGCCTACTTTAGGCTTCATAGGATTAGTGGAGAAGAGAAAGAAATTGAATTTTTAATCTTCTAGAAATGAGACTCAATGGTTATCTGTATAAAATGTATATATTTAGCTATAATAATATGAAACTACAACAAGTCTTTACTCTTTTGTGTTGAAGTAAGCTTAAAAAATCTTATTGCCCAGTATTACCCATTTCAGGGAGTATTGCCCAGTATTACCCATTTCTGGGAGTATTGCCCAGTATTACCCATTTCAGGGAGTATTGCCCAGCTTTTTCCTGGGCGGGTAATACTTTGCCAACCCTGAATGAATCCACAGTAAATCAAAGAGTTATGATTTATTTAACTGTGATCACCTTAAAAATCTACATATCAAGCTATCCATAATATATGTTTTCAAAATAACGCAGAAGAAAATACTTTAATTGTAAACCCAAAATAGTGGAGCATGAAATAAATATACATCTCTTTATTTCAGACAAAAGATAATCCTCAGTGGGCTGGCAAGTTAAAGAAGAAAAATACAGCACAGAATACAAAATTTACAAAAGTATATGCAACAGCGACATCTTGATAGACTGGTTCCTAAACTGTGGAAATTGTAAATCTACTTTTAGCCTTGACAGTTGAGATGGAAATCTGTGATATTCTGGATTGCATTTTACAGACAGTTTTTAAAGAACATTTTAAAAGTTAGCCATTGTTTAAGACAGCAAAATCAAAGATAGACATCTTTATTTGGTGTTTAAAATAGTTAAAATAACCCATGCCAGTTAATCATTTTACTGTTATATTTGACATGCTTCTTCAAGGGCTTTGTTAAATATTTTTCACTTTAATAAATCTTTTTTCAGTATCTCTCCCAATATAAATTGGTGTAATTGGGATAGTTGTTAGATTTCGCATGAAATTTTCAATGCATAGCTATTTATTGTGATTTTTTTTTTTAGTCAATCAAAGCAAAGTTTTAACAAATGCATCTTCCAATGAGATGTATAGCTAATTTATCAACTGTTTAATAATATCTACACATGTTGGCCCAGTAGTAAGAAATAAGATTATGTTAATTTTGTAATAAGTCATGAATGAGAACAGATTGTCCCATATTATTCCCAGTATTGGTTGTTTCTCACTGTTTAAGGACATACAGTAACCTTTTGAAGTTCACAACTTTAACCAGTCATTTTTATGCCCCCGCCGTAGTGGTGAGGGCATTAAGTTTTACCCTTGTCCGTCTGTACGTACGTACGTACGTCCCAAAATTGGTTTCCGTTCTCTAACTTGAGTTTGCCTCAACCAAATGTTATGAAACTTATACACAATGTTTATTACCACACAACACAGATCAAGTTTGAATTTTGGTGTTGTCAATGTAACTGTTCTAGAGTTATGCCCCTTTATAAATGGAAAAATTGCAAAATTTTTAGTTTTTGTTCTCTAACTTAAGTTTGCCTCAACCAAATGTTATGAAACTTTTACATAATGCTTATTACCACAAAACACAGATCAAATTTGAATTTTGGTGGCGTCACTGTAACCGTTCTAGAGTTATGCTCCTTTATAAATGGAAAAATTGTAAAATTTTTATTTTCTTCTAAATATCAAGTCATTTTTAAAATTGGAGTTATCTTCCTTTGTCCATGATTATAGTTGAATCAACTACAATCAATGCTTTATACAATGCAATGTTTAATTTTGACTTCCACTGATAAAACACAGATCAAGTTGAATTTGGGTAGTGTCACTTTAACCATTATTGAGTTATGCTCCTTTATAAATCGAAAGATTGCAAAATTTTTAGTTTCCATTCTGTAACTTAAGTTTGCCCAAACCAAATATTATGAAACCTATACACAATATTCATTACCACAAAATTAAAATCAAGTACAAATTTTTTGTTTCTGTTTTCTAACTTTAGTTTGACTCAACCAAATGTTATGAGACTTACATACAATGCTTATTACTACATAATACAGATTATGTATGAAATTTGGTGGCGACACTTTTACCATTCTTGAGTTATGTCCCTTTATAAACATAAAAATTGCTGAATTTTTAGTTTCTGTTCTCTACTTAAGTTAGCCTCAACAAAATGTTATGAGACATACACACAGTGCTTATTACCACAAAACTCAGATCAAGTTCAAATTTTGGGAGCGTCACTTTTACCGTTCTTTAGTTATGTTCCTTTGTAACTATATGATATGCAAGCGGGGGCATCATCTGTGTCCACATGTGGACACTATCCACATTTATCTTGGTTTTATGTTGGTGATCTTTGGTAGGTGGTTTTGTGTAATTTTGACCAACTAAGTTACATATCGTCTGTCCTTTTGAGTCTATCCTAGGGCTAAAAGATATCATTTCTTTTTTATATTTTGTAATTCATCATGCATTTTAAATGGTCCTGAATAGTTTGATAAGACCTTTTAAACCATGCATTTATTTGCAGCATGTGATTTGACTCCAAACTTATATGGAATATTATACTGAGAGTTTTTGATAAATCAATAGTCACTGATTCTAACACTTTACCCCATGAATTATAATATTTGTCCACTGTTCATGATTAAATTTTCAAATCTTGAAAAATATCTTAATAAACCTAGCATTTTAAATGGGATCTTGAGTGGATATATTTTATAATCAACAGGTTTTTTTGGTAGAGTGTTTTATATATAGTAGAATCTGTCTAGTCTAACACACTTTGGAAATTGAAAGATTTCACAAATCATGTTTGATAATCCTGTTTCTATACCAGTTGCTGTATTTTTGACTGTCATATCCTTTTTATGGCAAACTTCAAACCTGAAATATATGACAAAAGGTAAAACTGCACCTCTCACATACTTATTTCTTGTGAACTAAGACTGTTTTAATTGTGTAAACCCTGTAAGAAAATCTTTTTTATAAACACCTGAGAAAGAAATAGCTAACAAATTATTTTTTTCTTGCATTTTTATTTTGTTTAGAAGAAGAAAATATTTCTCCTTAAACTATCTGTAAACAGGGGCTCAGTTTGGGATTCAAGGACCAGTACAAGAAACATAGTTTTAGAATCATTTTAGACGGTTTATGATAAATAAATAGATTTTGTTGGAATTAAACTGGTGGATGTCAAGTGACATTTAAATATGATTTGATTTAATCTTCCAAATAAAAAACATCATGTCGATTATATGTTAAGCTTAAATTTTTGTTCTAAGATCATGATTTAATAAAGGTTGGAAATATTGATTTTAATACAATAATATGTATTTTTTTGGTTTGAAATGATTGATTTGAAAAGAAGAACAGTTGATATTTTTTATTCTTTCATGCATTTTATTTTTTTCATATAAACATATTTTCATTCCTTTATGTTCTATAGTATATTAAGATAATATGTATTATTTATGTATATAGTAATTTATTTTGTATGTATATTTCTGATTACAAATTACAATATCGTAGTTTTATTTGTCCATATTATTTTTATGCTATTCTAGAAAAATGATCTTAATGAGTTTTTATTTCTCTCTTATTTGAAATTTGATAGAAAGTCTGAATATTTCCAGTGTAAGTTTCCATCCCTTTTGTCAATAAGAATTGTCACAAAAGTGTTATGGTTATAAGATTTACTTGAGTTGGACAGTAGAGAGGACAGATTTAAAGTGAAGATTAGGCCCAGATTGCATCTATGAAGAATCACATATGGTAATGTGTAGACAGAAATGTTAACATTTTTGTCTCGCCTTGATGGAGTAAAAATCGAGACATAGGTATGCTGTTTCTGGCGTCAGCGAAGGCGGCGGCATCAACAATGTATTAGTTTGTGATTAGGTCTAGTTCATGGTGAACCACTAGTGGTAGGTCAATGATATTTGGTATGCAGTTGTATTAGCATTGGCACATCTCATTACCATGGAGATTATTTGGCCCCGCCTCCTCAGTCAAGGTCTATTGACTTTGAAACTTTTCATAGTTTACATGTATTAAGTTTGTGATTTGGGAACGACTTATAATAAGTCAATGGAGATTATTTGGCCCCGCCCCCTCAGTCAAGGTCTATTGACTTTGAAACTTTTCATAGTTTACATGTATTAGTTTGTGATTTGGGAACGACTTATAATAAGTCAATGGTATTTGGTATGCAGTTGTATTAGCATTGGCACATCTCATTCCATGGAGATTGTTTAGCCATGTACCTTCAGTCATGGTTCATCGACTTTGAATATTTGCATAACTTACATGTTAAAGTATTGCTATTTTAATTTCAACATTTGCATTATCAAAATTAAAAAAAAGGCGAGACATATCTCTGTGATAACAGTTTATTAATTTTGGTTTTTGATTTTGAACAATATAAAAAGCGGTATCTTTTGGCAGAATTCTAGATCTGACATAACAACATTAATTTCCACATTTATCTGTTGTAAAGGAAGACAACTGATATATTCAGAAACTTAAAATAATTTCCTGGTGATTTTTTTTTATAGAAAAGAATGCTAAATAGAGGTTGTGATGATCTTTAACACATTTTCCTAATGATCTTGTTTGTCAGTTACCAAATTTTCTCATGGTGGGAAATTGGTTGTTCTCTGCTATAGCACATAGAAGGAGCCTTGTAAATTCCTGTATTTGTCAGTTTTTCTGTCTGCCTATATAAAATTGAGAATGGAAATGGGGACTGTCTCAAAGAGACAACTCGAACAAAGGACAGAAAACAGCCGAAAGATGTATACAAATGATTGATTTTATGTATACATGTCCTCTATAACTCCTGGTTACATTGCTTTTGTATGTGTAATTATGTTAACGATGTCATGCATTTGATCATACTATCCTGTCACTGTGAAAGAGAAAAGAAAGGATATACTGTGTCAATTCATGACACAAACAAGAATGTGTCCATAGTACACGGATGCCCCACTCACACTCTCATATCATAGGGAACATGTGTTTCAAGTTGATTGGACTTCAACTTCATCAAAAACTACATTGACCAAAAACTTTAACCTGAAGCGGGACAGAAGGATGAAGGAACAAACGAACAGACGCACAGACAGAAAAACATAATGCCCCTATGTGGGGCATAAATATCCAGAGGCATATGCAAAATACATAGCAAAGGGATAGTGCATTTATTGTTGATTCACAATTCTCACCTCACTGCAAGTGCAAGACAGCCCCTGATATCAATTTGATATGTTGATCATGCTTCATCAGGGCCTGGAAAAACCAATCAGAGGGGCAAACTCAACAAATTATAAATTACATCTGGCCATGAATTCTAACAATTACTGCCATAAACTACCACACAAAATCTCTGTAAAATATATAAACATTAAAAGCATTAAGACAACTCTCTGGATGCAAACTAGAAAACAAAAAATCACCATAAGAGAAGTTATCTCAAGAATAAATGCACTGTAAATGTAAAAATATAAAAAGGCTTTAAACCAAATGCTTCTCCAAAACTGGATCATCGATAGCTTGTACATTAAGTTCATAATGTGTAATTATGTTATATCAAGGCTTTTTAATTCAGTGTAATTTGCCTTAATTAATGAACTAAAATGGCATTCTTGTCATACTTCATGGACATAACTCTGAATCAGCTTTTAATTTAATATGGTGCTCTTTTGTGTTTTGAGCATAAACTAAAGAAGATAGAGATAAACTAAACAGACTAAATGATCAGTAATACAAGATCAACAAAACAGAGATTTTTGTCATGTCTCATTTTTATCTAATTTTCACTTTCACTTTCTATTTATAACGATAACGTCGTCATAACAACCATTGTAAAAAGTTGTAAGATGACTTTCGGCTAACCGCATAACCCGCCTTTTTTGGTAGCTTTACTGGATAATTTCACATGTATACTTGTCCTGGTTGTTGAAACCTGTTGCCGAATAAACAATTACTTTGCGGTAATTAGAGTGTTGTCTTTCATATCGATAATTTTATGTAGAGTTATGTGCCTTTTATGTGAGCTATTTTTTAAAAGTAGTCTCAGCCTTTGTCATGATGGATTAAACGTATCCTTAATGGTTTTATATCTTTATCTTTGATCATTATTGAAAATTTAATTTAAGATAAACATGCTTTAAAAAACCAGTTTTCAAATTTTTCTGCCCAAGTATTGAAATAGTTTTTGAAATTTTGCTAACTTAATGGTAGTTTGTTACCTGTCTTTATAAATCTGGTATTTTATGAAACACATATATAGGGCTGATCATCTCCTAAATGTACAGACACACTGGCTATTGTGTTCCGGTACACCGATACCGTCTTGTATATAACATTATCATTCACCTCATTGTCCACTCGGAGAATACCTCCAAAAAAAACCAGTACGAAAGGCGTACAAAAATAAAGGCACAATAGTTGAGTAGTCTGTGTTTTACTTTTTGAAAATGTAGATGTACCCCTTTTCTCGAGTGGGGCTATAATATTATTATTTCTAAAATGGCTATGTTGCATTCTGTATTGACTTTGCCAGGTCTTCCTTCTGACAACCTTTTTTAGACATCAATGAGAACCTTAAATGGAATGTTATAAAACTTGGACCGAAATATCTTCAAGATAAGATAAATAGCACCTATAAACAAGGATCTAATTTGATTTCCTTATTCTATTAATAAATTGGCTTTTTTTTTTACAGTCAACATTACACTTTTACTCTGACAGCAGTAATTGGAAGCGAGAATACTTTACTATTTTTTTTATTCAGTAAAATGTCAACACCGTTTTCGCGGATATGGAACCGCTACTGGTGGACTTGCTTTCAGTTACACGACCAGGAGTCATTACTGGCATGATTTAATTGATATATATTGCCTCAATATTTCCAGTTTGATAAAAGAGGCGAAAAATACCAGAGGGACATTCAACTCATAAGTTGAAAATAAAACTGACAACGCCATAGCTAAAAAAAGAAAAGTCCAACAGACAAACAATAGTACACACAACACAAAATAGAAAACTAAAGACTGAGAAATACGAACCCCACCAGAAACTGGGTGTGATCTCAGGTGCTCCGGAAGGGTATGCAGATCCTGCTCCACATGATGCACACGTCGTGTTGCTCATGTTAGTACAAACCCGATAGTAAGTCTAATTCGGTAGGTCACCGTCCGGAAAAGGAGACGAGATTGTAGTTACGACATTAGGAACATATCCGTTATCATCTGTGAAACGGTTATCCATAACGGTCAACCCACTCGTGATGGCGTCCATAAAACTTACGAATGAATGATTTCAAGTTCACCACTTGTAACTCTTGGTTTAATAGCTTCCTTGTGAGTAGAAACCCTCTATCAAGGAAATCATGGTAGGAAACACAAGCCCTGGAATATCGTATCAACTGGGATATATTTACTCTGTATGCAGGCGCTGCTGGAATGTTGCTACATAGAAATGGAAAGTTCACAATTGGGAAGCCGTAATCATCCCTTTTGTCGCAAAGCTTTGTTTTCAACGACCCTCATTGATAATTTCTAGATGGAAGTCAAGATATGAGGCAGACTTAACTGTATCTGTCGTATCCTTTATCCCAAGTTTGATGGGATAAATATATTCAACATAGTCACCAAATTTTGAATTATTTCATGAGAGAACATCATCTATATATCGGAAAGTAAAGTTAAAGGATACTGCTTACTTCTTTTCTTTCTTCATAAGAAGTTCATGTATGAAGTCAGCCTCGTATGAATAAAGGAATCTTCAATGCAAATACTGCACTGGAAAAGAAAAGATATTAAATGAGTGTATATGAAACAATAGTCGATAACATGCCTAGAAATATCCTTAATTCAAAGTAACAACGTTTGTATTGCTGTTTTTCTTCTTGGCAGCTAAAGTAAGGTCTTCATCGACGAACTTACATGTTACATTTTTACAAGAAGGTCATGACGACCACAACGTCAACATAACGGGTTGTATTCTGAATGACCGATATGTAAGTCTTTGATGTAATGTCTGCGGCTCCAGATTTATCATTCGTTGCCTAGTAGAGGATTTTATTTTTACAAGGTGCAAAGAAAATAGACAGTCACGAGGAGTCATCTGTTTTTTACCAACTTTTGAATATTTAATGAGAGAACATTATCTACATAGCGGAAAGTAAAGTTAAATGAGACTGCTTACTTCTTTTCTTTCTTCATAAGAAGGTCATGTATGAAGTCAGCCTCGTATGAATAAAGGAATCTTCAATGCAAATACTGCACTGGAAAAGAAAAGATATTACATGAGTGTATATGAAACAATAATCGATAACATGCCTAGAAATATCCTTAATTCAAAGTAACAACGTTTGTATTGCTGTTTTTCTTCTTGGCAGCTAAAGTAAGGTCTTCATCGACGAACTTACATGTTACATTTTTACAGGAAGGTCATGACGACCACAACGTCAACATAACGGGTTGTATTCTGAATGACCGTTATGTAAGTCTTTGATGTAATGTCT